TTATGAAGCAAGCGGGATCCGGAAGTTTAGATTACCGATTGATATCCGGGGGGAGGAATGGGCTCTTGCCAACACCCCCGATTGTTCCCTTTGAAAGTGGAATTCACACGGCAATTCCGGCACATGGACTTTGTATAAGCCTTGCCAGCCGGTCAGCCAGCTAGCTAGACAGGTACAAAAACCCACACCAGCAACATGGCATCGTGTCGATGCCGGGTCCGATCGTGCCTAGCTTCCGCAGGGTAAGAAGGAGGAGATTTGATAATGCGCATAATGCGCAGGATGATATTGTGACCAACCAGACTATTCAGGGACAGCGGGTCTTGGCTGCAGGGTAATCGGCGATTTCTTTGGTCGGATGCTGCTGACTGTGAGACCGTTGTGGGTTAAGCGAAATTGGTTCTGGAGATCCACTGCTTCCAATTGGCTGCGGATGGCTTGCGGGTGGAGCTCCCAAGACCAATCATCAGGGGCAGTCCGGAATCCCATGAAATGAGCATCCGGGAGTTGTGCTGGGATGGTCTGAATTGGGCGTCTCGCTGAGTGATAATATTTTTTATTGTTTATTTGGATTTTGAGGTTTGCTTATTCCATTCCCTTCGAGACTCCTGCCCCCTCTTCACTATCTGAATTATATTAATGTGATGTGTAAGATTCATTTGGAACCTGCGTGTCACCAGCGAGCGTGTCCCATAGGTCACTCCTTGCGGAGAAGATTTTATGTCTGTGTCTCTGGCTGCTCGGTGTCAGCCAAAATCCGTAGTAGTAACTACTAGCCTGCATGTTCCGTAGTATATCCCGACTTCTCCGAGAGCTGCTGTTTGGATCCGTTTACATTATGCCTTGCCAGGCAGAACAAAACAAGGCTTATGCTTGTTTGTACCCATATCTTCAATTTTAGCCTCACCCGCAGTTCGGTTGTAGCGGACTCCGTTGCCCGACCATGAAGAAAATTTCTGCAATATGAAAAAGGTTGGACCTTGGTTCTCTCAGGCACTCGGATCTGCCTGTCCAGCGCACCGAGGCACCACCGATGCGAGCTAGAGCCAACAGGGGAAGGCCTCCTTTTCTCATTCCCAAAGCGGGCTAGTGGCTTTACCCGGACGACCCTGATTAGGGATAGCAGTGACGACATGATACGGGGCCAAACCGGTAATACGAGTACGACTTCCCAGTCAGGCTCCGTAAGCCCCCGTACCCGTCGCCGTCCGCCCCGTCGTCTGTCTTGCTGATCGAGAACCTGCAAAATCCTCATATCCCATCCATTGTTCCCTCTTCTCTTCCTCTTTCTCTTCCGTTTTCTCTTTTCTTTTCCTTCCATTCCTCCCGCCTATACTTCCGCTCCTCCTCCTCTTTCTCCCCAATCTCTCTTCCCTCGTCGACCCTCCGGCTCCGTGGCCATTTGCGCCCCTCGCAAACACGTCTCCCTCGTTCTTGGTTTCCTCTCTCGCCCTTACTGTCCGCCTTGCGTCAGAGTAACCCTTGCAACGTGACCGTCCCCGAATATCCTCGTTTGGCCGCTGGAGACCGGAGCCTGCGCTTCCACTTCATTACTGGATCCCTCCAATCTGGTATTTCTCCGCCTTCACCAAACGCCTGTCGGGCCTTGAGCCAGCCAGCGATCGAAACGTTTTGTTCCAGGCGCCGCCCCTTTCAGCTTCTGTCACGTTGACGCCCAGAATCCCCCTTTCCGCCGACTCCGCCGGGCGCTTCCTTTGACCATCTCGAACCTCAAGACTGGCGACATTCTTCCCTTCAACTACGCCTAAAGTGCTGGGATTTCCTGACTATCGAAGATTCCACGGGGGTTTTCAAACGTGACTAGCCGCCGAGATGAATTCCACCCTTCCTTCTTGGAAGGACCGCACGCAGAATCAGTTCGGCAAGCTTCAAATCCAGGTACCATGGCGGTCGATCCAGCTCCTCGTCCCGCATCGCATGCGACGGAAGATTCGCTCCAAGCTTCGCAGCAGGCTTTCTCCGACATCTTCGATATCGTCTCTGCAAACGTCCTTTTCGCCCATGGATACGCTCCGATCACTGCAGAGCCATCGTTGGACGCTATATGATTTTCAATACTTGCTCCTGCTGATCCTTCTGATCTTCTCCCTGAGTGTGATGGGATCTCCTGGGCCTTTGGGGAAGACGGCGATGTTTACCCTACTCCTCCTTTCTCTCCTACTCCCGATTACACGCCAATTCTTCTTGCCGTTCCTTCCAATTGCGGGGTGGCTGATCTTTTTCTACGCCTGCCAGTAAGTCAACCACCCTTTCAGATCGCAGTATGCTGGAGTTTGAGAGAAACTTGGGAACTGACGCTGTCTGAAATAGATTCGTTCCAAGCGATTGGCGCCCGGCTATCTGGGTCCGCGTGCTTCCGGCTCTGGAAAACATACTCTACGGAGCGAACATCAGCAACATTCTGTCTGCTCATCAGAACGTTGTCTTGGACGTGCTGGCGTGGTTGCCTTATGGCATCTGTCACTATGGCGCGCCATTTGTCTGCTCGCTCATCATGTTCATTTTCGGTCCTCCTGGCACGACTCCCCTCTTTGCACGGACTTTCGGTTACATCAGCATGACTGCTGTCGCCATCCAGCTGTTTTTCCCCTGCTCGCCTCCGTGGTACGAGAACCTTTACGGGCTGGCACCGGCCGACTACTCCATGCCGGGTAACCCCGCGGGTCTTGCTCGCATCGACAAGCTTTTCGGAATCGACCTGTACACCTCGGGCTTCAGACAGTCCCCTGTCGTGTTTGGTGCTTTCCCCTCTCTGCACGCTGCGGACTCGACTCTGGCCGCTTTGTTCATGAGCCATGTCTTCCCGCGGCTGAAGCCCTTGTTCGTGACTTACACCCTGTGGATGTGGTGGGCAACCATGTACCTGTCGCACCACTATGCAGTGGATTTGGTCGGTGGTGGCCTCCTGGCCACGGTTGCATTCTACTTCGCCAAGACCCGATTCCTCCCGCGCGTCCAGAGCGACAAGACTTTCCGTTGGGACTACGACTACGTGGAGATCGGAGACTCTGCTCGCGAATATGGCTACGACTTGGCTGCCTACGACGGCGACTTCAATCTTGACAGCGATGAGTGGACGGTTGGATCGTCATCCTCCATCTCCTCTGGCTCCCTGAGCCCGGTGGACGATCACTACACCTGGGAAGGAGAGTCTTTGGCTTCGCCCATCGCCGATGTCGAGTCTGGCAGACATATGCTCAGTGCTTAAGCCAGTCGACCACCATTTTGCACCAACCTCCCTGCATATACAGCATCCACTTCTTGCATCTATTTACGAACGGCGTTAGTACATTTGACGACATGCTGGGTTTATTGCATTGAGCCGATTTCGACACATAATATCTTTAATACCGCTTTTTATTTCGCAGACCAGGTCGGATGGTTTCGATTTTCCGTTTTGGATTGGTCACCCTGGATACTGCTATGTTTTATCTCTTCGTCTTGACCTAACTGTACATCATACCGCACACTTTTCTGGGCTGCGTTGCCGCATGATCCTGCAGCCCGACCTCCTCGAAGCTCCGTCGATAATATTAATACCGAAGGCTCAGTGTTGCACGACACCGCGTCCCATCCGGTCGTGCAACCCCTGATGCCCTCGTTGGAGACATTCGCTTTCTACATCTCGCCTAGACGAACCAGGACGACCACACTCGTTTACTTCCTACTTTAGTCTTTCGCTTTTCACCAGCTGGTCGAGCTTTTTACCTTATCTTCTTTTGCTCGGCCAGGTACATATTTTATCTTCGTGTCGATCGCTCACACCACTGGCGCCTGGGATTGGGAACTCAATGAAGAAAAAGTTGATTGAGGCGCCCAACTTGCTTGCACCTCATTCGCTGTGCTTTCAAGGGATTCAATGCTTTTTTATTTTAATGACCATTGCATTGGCATATAGACAGAGGGGTTATGATGAACCTTTGTATTACGGTCTCTTTTGCGCACCAGAGACCTTTATTGTTTGTTATACGGAGGGCCGTGCTCACGCGGGCTGCTCATTCTCCGGAAAGGGGAACGAAGCCGAAATGAAGCCCGACGCACGCACCCACGAGGAAGGGGACGCGGGAATATAGATGTTGACGGAGGCATCTTTCCCGAACAACACGTGTGCCTGGATTTTGTTGATTCGCTTTGCTATGGAAACACGTCACCCACCCCATCACACCCTACACCTTTTAATTCCGTTCGCACGGGACTACTCTTTTACCTCCTGTATCCCCTAGGTTGTGTGGTTTTCTGGTATCAATCGATGCAAGAAAACCATTTCTCTACTCTACCGCCCGCTCGCTCCTATGACCTAATTCATTAACAGCTGCGGCTGCGTGTGACGGGATAAGGGAAGGGGTGGTTGATTGGATGGACGAAAGTATCCATTAGCAAAACCTATTTTTAATTATAATCAGGTAGCGTTATGATTTATGAATGCTTGTATCATATATGTTTTTATTCTATTTTCCTCTTGTTTCTACTGTATACATTTCATGTCTCTTAGGAACTTCTTGAATGACTACTACGTGCTCCTATTGGAATATTTGCCCTTGTTTCTTCAGTCTAGCCGTATGTAGCTTAGAAGTAAGTCACTATATGAAATTACTATCTTATCTGTCTATACCATGTCGATAAAGATCATATGAGATTAGATCACATGCAAGATTGATTAATGTAATCACAACTTAGTCACGCCACTTAGACACCAGGTAGTACGTGTGAAATATCTCTCCAGATAGACAGAATACAACTCAACCCCCAACGATAGGAGAAACGAATGATACATGATACATGACCATTATAAGATTCACAAATCTACTTCTCTATAACAAACCTAACATACCCCACCACCATCATCTCACACATAATATAGGTATATAGTATAGTATAGTAGGTACTATGTACTAATAGGTAGGTAATTCCCAATAAAGGAAAGGAAAGAAAAGAAAAGAAAAACGCCCTCTACTCACATTACAATACATCTATCTCATTCATTCATCATCAAAAACCTGTACCCGATCTGCGTACTCCTTAATCCGCGAGACGAACGTCTCTTCGATCTGGTCTCCTTGGCCGCCTGCTACGCGAAGAATGAGGTCGTTGAGGGATGCGCGGCCGAGGATGTCGACGTGGTCGCCTATACTCTCTCTCTCATTAATATAGTTCTTTCCTAATACGGGGAGTAAGGGGGGATGGGGATGGGGGCTACCTGTATTCGGACCACCACGGGGCGAGAAGCGATCCGGCTCATGCGGCATCTCAAAGACCTTGACTTGCACTCCGGCAGGGTTGTACCGTTTCATGCGCCAGCCCTTGGCGCACATGTAGCCCGTGCTCAGGAGGTTGACGGTGCCGTCGCCCTCGCCCATGAGGACGCCGTGATCGACGCCGTCGTTGTTAGTTACTGTCGTGTCGATGCTGACGTTCAGGTTGACCAGGGGGTCACGTTCTTCCTGGTAGTAGTAGCTCCGCTCGGTGGGTTTTCCGACGCCGTAGAAGCAGTAGATTTTGAGGTCCGGGGCGAGCGGGAGCCGGGCTTCGAGGGGGTTGAGCCATGTGCGGGGGTTGTTTTCGTTCTCTTCGACTTCGCGGGCTGTGTGAGCCACGCCGTGGGAGTAGCTGCTGAGTACCTGGTCGCGGTACCAGGACTCGGATTCATCGAAGAGGTAGTTGAGACTTTCGGTGACGGTCATGTTCTTACTGGTGTGGGAGGAGTTGGTTTCGCGGAAGTTGAGCACGGTGCCGAAGGACTGGGACTGGTCGGGCAGGTCGTCCGGGGCCCAGGTTGCGTTGCCCCAGACGGCCTCGCCGCCCTTGGGAAGCATGCTGCTGATGCCGGGCATGGCGCGGAATATCTCGGCGCGTTCTTCCTTGGAGAGGAACTTTTCGAGCCCGTAGACGGCGAAGGCGTTGAGTTGGGCGGTGTCGCGCATCTCGCCGGAGAGGACGGCCGTTAGGCCCTTCACGGCGCCCAGCATGCATCCGCTGATGTTGATCCAGTTGGCGATGTGGTTGTTGACCCAGTTGCGGCCGCCGGCGCCGTGGTCCGGGTGCTCGACCCATTTGAGGAAGTACAGCACCACCTGTGAGCCCATGCTGTGTGACGCGAGCGTGACCTTTTCGCCGCCGACCTGGACGGCGGTCTCGATGTAGGATTTCAGTCGGCTGAAGTACTGGTCGCGGCGCTCGAGGTTGGGGTACGAGAGGCGCCAGTCGTAGGCGGCGGTGAAGGCGTTGGTCGGGTCGTAGCCGATGGTTGCGAGGTTCTCGAGGATCTTGTTCCAGATCCAGTAGCCGGTGATGAAGAAGTCAGTGGCGTCAAAGCCCTGCGCGGCGCGGAGCTTGATGCCGGGGGGATCCAGGCCGGTTTCCTTATCTAGCATGATATGGTTCTTCCATTCGGTCTTGTCGAGGACCAGTGCGCGCATCATACTCCAACTGCCCCAGAGTCTGCGACGGAAGTACTGGCGGGAGTTTGCGTCGGTGCCCCAGCTCTCGAGGCCGGTCGAGATAACGCCGGGGATCATGACAATGGGGTGTTTGGCGTGGACGCCTTCGGCTTGGAGGTGCAGACCGACGGAGAAGGAGTCGTATGCGACGGTGTCGCGTTCATGTTGCTGCGCGGGGTGTCAGTATACTGCGGGTCCTATTGATATATCCAAGTCGCTTGATGAGCAATTGGGTCGTACCGTGAATTCCCTGACATCCGAGAGCAATCCCTGAGGCATAACATCCATCAACGACTCCAAGTTCAGATCCATTATGCTATCCAGACTGATCACATCCTGCTGGTTGGCGAAGAGAACGGCCACGAGGACACCAAACAAGCCACCCAGAACGAAGATAAGACCATTGCGCCGTTTACTCCGAGGTTTGGTGACAAACGACTCTCCTTTGGGTTTCTTCTGCGCCGACGCAGTCGAGTCGGGGATGTCGCGGGAGTCGGACGGGGACGGCGATGCGGACGCACCGTCCTTGTCCTTGGCCACACGACGGCGGAGCATGCTGCACTTAGACGACGGAAATCATGTAAGAAGCCGGGAAAGCAAAGAGAAGAAGAAGGAGTTCACGTCAAAGCAGAATCATAAGAGAAAGGAGAAAAAAAGAAGGTTTGAGCCAAAAATAACCGAGTTTGACATGAAGAAAACCGAATCCGTCCCAATTCAGGCACCGCCGGAAAATCACATGTGCGGGACGTCATCACTTCTTTTTATTCTCGGCTTCCCTTTTCTCTCCATTCATGCCCTGCTCTCTCTTCTGATTCGAGTCCTTCATCCTCTCCACAATGACTTCCAATCCTCCTACTACAGATGCTACCGCCACTCTCACAACAACAAATAATACCACTACTGCCACCACCACCACACCCCTCCGCTATATCCGCTACAATGCCGCCCACGAAGACACTTACGTCCCCGCCATGCGCCAATTAATCTCCAAAGACCTCTCCGAACCCTACAGTATTTATGTCTACCGCTACTTCCTCTACCAATGGGGCGATCTCTGCTTCATGGCCATGGACGACAACAACTCCGAGCTCCAATCCTCCTCACCAATGGTCGGCGTCGTCGTGAGCAAACTGGAACCGCATCGCGGGGGCCCCTTACGCGGATACATCGCCATGTTAGCCGTGCGCGAGGAGTATCGGGGCCAGGGGATAGCCACGAAATTGGCTCGTATGGCGATTGATGCTATGGTGGAGAGAGGGGCAGATGAGGTAAATCCCTACCTCCAAAGTTCCCCATAGCTAAATGCATGTGCACGTTCCACTAACGATCCATCGATTGTAGATCGTGCTTGAAACCGAAACCACCAACACCGCCGCGATAAAGCTCTACGAGCGCCTCGGGTTCCTGCGGAGTAAACGGCTGCATCGATACTACTTGAATGGCAACTCGGCGTATCGGCTTGTACTGTACTTGAAGGAAGGGGTTGGGTCGATGCGGACGAATATGGATCCGTACGCTCAGCAAACAGGGCCGCCTTACCCCTTAATTGAGGATAGAACGGACACGGTGGTGACCGCGCCGGAGCCGGCGTTGACGCATGAAAATGGGAAGTGGTAGAGGTTGTTTTTACCCTACCTTTACTCTTTTTGGATACCTTGCCCCCTTTCTTCCTTTTTGGATGGATGTGAATGACTGTAATGACTATGCTATGCTATGTTATGCTATGATGAAGATATATATGTGGATTTGTTGGTCTGGTTTGGTCTGCTTGCATTGCATTGCATGTGTGCGGGGTTAGGTTGTGGATTACTATAGATACAATCTATTGCTGTTGGGTTTCTATATGGTGGGGTGGTTCCAGGTCTATGTACAGAGTGTTATGTGAGGTGATGGGAGGTGGATGGGAGGGCATAATGTACAAGATATGTATATATAACAGGGCCATGGTGAAGCCACAATCGAGCAAATAACAAGGGAACAGATCAAGCCGGATACATCGACTTCCTCACCGGCACGCGAATGGCATTCTGGACCAGCCAGTGTACCGGCCGCGGCACCTTCCGCCACTCTTGATCCAAGACCGAGGCGGCCTCCAACATAATCAGCAGAGGAAACTGCGGGCGATGCCAGGAACCGATCTCGATATCATGCTGCGTGAGCGCAGAGGCCACTTGGATCTGCTGCTCCCGCTCTTCGCCGCTGGGCTTGTAGCCTGAACTCAAATAGGCGATGGGGTTGGTGCGATACTCCCGGGGTAGTTTGTCGAGCACGGTGGTCTGGAGCTTATGGTCGGGACGGTGCAGATCCAGTCCTACGATGACTTTGCCCGCACTCACATCCCAAATCGTGTGGACGTTGGTCTCGGGCTTTCGGGGCACATTGCGGATCAAGGAAGTCACGACCGTGCGCTTCATCTTGTATGTCACGTTTCCGGACATACACGCGTACCTCCAGAGGACCCGGCAGATGTTGTAGTATTGGCCTTTGAAAGCGACCAGGAAGAGTCGCTCCCATGCGTGCCGTTCGAGCTTCGTTTCGGGGCGCTCTAGGCATCGGAAGAGATACCGCAGAGCGGTGGGCATGTCTGCTCGGAAAAGAGAGAGAATTTGGGTGATGGTAGCACTGTTGAAGGTTAGGTCGTTCTGCTTGCAGATGTCGAATAACCGGTCCAGGGCAGCAAAGTCTTTCAGCCGGACGATGACACCGAACATCTGGCTGATCAGAGATGGAGCGAAACAGCTATCTCCGCACGAGTCGGCGGTCTGCCTGATGAATGAATCCACGCTCTTGCCACTTTCTAAGTGTGCTCGGAACGTGTTCGGCAGGGTCAGGTGTAGCGCCGTCCGCATCGCACCCATGTTCTCCAGGTACCCGCGCTGCAGCATATACGTGACGAGATCTGCTTTCGCCTTGGGAGCAACCAGGCAATCCAGCAGGGTGAGCCATGTGTTGGGATCCGGCCGAATGCTCAGTCGAGACATGGCCAGCAAGAACTGACGGAAGAAGCGGAGGTCTTGCCTCTTAGCCGCAGACTTCAGGAGGATATTAAAGGTATCCACCGTCGCAAGGTGTTCGGACTTGAGGAAGATGTCGCGGGCGGCGTTCAGAAACTCATGGTCAAGCAGATAGGACAGCGCTCGATTCAATGCAGCCGTCGACATGAAGCTGGAATATGCCTCATTCCGGAAAAGCTGCACAAGGGCCCGCGCCACTTGCTTTTGGTGCGAATAGGGAATCTTCGAGTTATACGAAGGTTTTGACCTCGTCAATTCCTCCACATGTTCCGCGAAGTCCCTAATCCCAGACAAATTCTTCCCAGCAGGTAGAACCATATGCAGCTTCGCGGCCTGCTTGACAGCCGACTGTATATCCCATACACCTCGAACCAACGGCACTGGCGCACCCTGACGCTTCAGCGCTTCAATAGACGGGATGATCGGGAAAAGCGGGATTTGGATATCGACCAGAGGATCACTCTGCTCCTGCAGTCTCCTCGCCTGCGCAATCCTATCGCTGACCAACTCAACCACCCGCTCCGAGCCAGACAGAATCACTCTTCGAAACCGACCCTGGCTCTGCAACGGACGCAGCACATGCACCTTGCACCCATTATGCACCGGCACATACCAAACATTCTCCTTCAACGCCATGTCCGTGACGCCGGCCAACAGCGCGATCGTCTCCTCCGGCACGAGCAATTCCTTCTGCTTGACACCCTTCTTCGCCCAGACATGCGTATCCTCATGCATCTCCTCCAACATCTCCCGAATCTTCGTCCACTTATTCCACTGGTTATTCTTCGCCTTATCACGGCCCTGACTCTGCTTCGTCAAAAACAGCCGATATCTCAACTTCCGTCGGTCGCGGTGCGATAGTTGCTTCAGCGCAATAGCGGGCGTTTCACCAGTAGATGATCTCACACCCTTCCGGCCCGTCGTCGGCTGCACAGGTCGCGTCTGTAAATCGGAGAAGATATTGAAGACGTGTCGCTCGCTCTTCACCTCGGTTTCCGGGTCATTGTCTAATTGGTTATAGATGGATGCAGGTGATCCGGTATCGGCATTCTCTTCACCACGTTTCCCTTTCTGCGGAGCCGTTGCTGACTTCCCCTGCTCAGGCGGAACAACATCCCGCTTCACCTCCGTCTTAACAGCAGCCTCCGCCGCCGTCGTCGAAACCCACCGTCTCGACGAGCTCCCAAACGAGAGCTTCCGTCCCGCCGGTGGCGGCTTCGCTACCGTCCTCCTCCCAGCAGCAGCGTTATATACATTTTCATTTCCACCTGGTGTATACCGAGAAGTCGAGGAAACAAGTCTCCGGTGTTGTCGTACAGCCGAGCCAACCCAGCGAGGGTACAGGAATAGGAGAGGTTCTTCGGGACTAGCCGCAACGGTGTCTAAGACGGTAGATAGACTACGTCTTTTCAGACACGGTCGACCACGAGATAACATGTGGGATCGGAGTGACACACCAACCAAGCGGCGGAGGGGTGGGAACTTGGAAGGCGTGGTGGCCGGGGTCGTGGTCGTAGAGAGATCGGAATGGCCGAGGGAAGAAGAGGCAGGGGAGCTTCGGAGCCAAAAAAGTTATTATTACTGTTAGTTAAGTTAGGTGTTGGGTTGGGGTGGTTTGCCGGGGTTGGTAGGCGGTAGGTAGGCGGTCGTGGTTGGCATTTTTACCGCGCCTCCGCGGTGCCAAGCATTTACTCCGTATACTGACTGCTCTTTGAGATGATTTATATGATATGAATACATTTTGACAATAAACAGATGGATATTCATACACTTCACGCTAACTAAGCAATACTAACCCACCCCAAAACTCCAACCCCCATCCAGACAGAATACCAAAATCAAGAAGAATACTGAAAAATATGCCCTTCCCTACCTACCTCCGCCTCCTTAGGAATCCCCTTAATCTCCCCACCATCATCCATTGACTTGAACTCGAACCGGCCAGAGTATCTCGCCAACAGACTCCCGCGTTTCGAAACGGGGGTCAGGTCCAGCATCTCCATGCTCGATTTCCGGTTCTCGGCTCGCAGGACCCCCGGGCCCGTGAGATGGCGTCTAGCTGTTTCGGTGGCCTTTCGGAGATGATCCAGCTTGCGCTGCAGCTCGGTGGCTTCGCTGTCCCCGCTGGATGAGGAGAGTTGTTGGGAGAGAGACTCGACGAGGTCGGTAAGGTGGAGGACGAAGTGCCAGCGGGAGGCTTGGAAGACGAACATGGACATGATTTCGGGGATCTGGATGTTCATGACATATCACAATTAGCATATTGCTCCTGCTGGATGGGATATCTGCAGGGAACGGGTAATGCTATGGGGGGGACTACCTTCTCATCCAAATAAAACAACTCCTCCCCGCCTTCGTCGACGAACCGATCCAACGCATCCACCTTTTCGCGATCCACAATCGCTACTCTCAACGCGTGCATCAACGCCGGGATATTCGCTATTTCCTCTATCGGTGCCCCTTCCTCCTCCATCTCCCTTGAAGTCGTCGCAGTCGTGGTCCGACCCAAACTCGTAGTCCCATACCCACCCCCACCGACCTCACTAACCGGCCTCTTCTTCTTCTTCCCCGAGTGAATCGTGAAATAATCCTCATTCAATCTATGCGCCATCTCCAACTCCGTCCGCCCATGTCTATCCACTAACCGTTTCGTCCTCACCCGCACCCATCTGCGCCGTCGCACAAACGAATGAAACCACGGATGCGACCCATGCCACGCGGTCGATTTGAACGAGAACGAATATTGCCATCCCTGGTCATCCACGTCGCCGGACATATCGACGTACCAGGACCGCCAGGCCCACACCCAGCTGGGATCGGGCACTTGCGCGTTCGTGATGTCCACGGGACTGTCGCGCAGATCGCCAGTCTGCCAGGCGGAGGGGTCGAAGTTGAGTAGGGAGCTGTGCGAGTAGAGCGGGATGCCGAAGAAGAACCACCCGCGTTGGTTTTCGTAGAGGATGTCGAGCTCGGTGTTGGGTTTTAGGCCGGTGAGTTTGGGGGCGTTAGCCCCTGTAGTTGTAGTGGTGGTGTGGGTGGTGAAGAGGGTGTTGCTTTCTGGGGCGAAATCCGTGGCGCTTACATCCTGCGAAGGGGGTGAGGGTTGCTGTTGTTGGCTTGCGCTGTCACTTCGACTTTGGTATTGCGAGGGGGGAGGGCTCGTGGTGGTTGCTGTTTCTGTAGTAAAGAGGTCTGATATTTCTGGTCTTTCGGAGGGTCGTCTGCTGGATGACGGTATGCCTTCCTCCTCTTCATGGTTGTTGTAGTTGGTATTGTCTTCATCATCGGTCGTAAGCCCCAATCGATCCGGTTGCCATTTAGCGTACTTGCGCTTCTTCAGCTCGCCGCGAATTGACCTTTTCGTCCATTTCCGGGAGACGTGGCTGCCGCCGTTTGTTGTAGCGGTGGGAGTTTCAGAGTGGCGGCGACGGGGCGCAGTATTATCGATGAGGGCGATAGAGCTGGCAGTTGTATTGGAGTGGTCGATGTCCATTGTAGGTGCCTGCCTGCCTGCCTTACCATCCACTGTATCAGAAGCTGAGACCGATCTTAAAAGTAATTATAAAATATAAATAAAGTAGAAAAAGGGATCCGATCATCGCAGCGATAATAAGGCCATCATTCCGCAGGGATAGAAGTTAATGAATAAGTGTTGTATGTGAGACAAGACAAACAACTAAGTAAGTGACTAGACTAGTTGGAGATTAAAAGGGGACTCTCTCCAATTAGAATAAGTAATAATGGGAGCCTGCACGAGCAGAGGCTACGTACTATATAAAGCAAAAAGATTTTCTCTCCAATTAAGATTAGAGCCTAGCCCATTGGAATGGTGCGACAAAAACAACCCACCGGAACCTGCCTGGTTGGGAGAAGATGATGATGGAAAAGAAAAAAAGTAGTAGTTCGTTCGTAAAGCAAGGCATGGGGAATGGGAAACTTCACCTTCCCGATTTCGATCAATGATGACATCGTTTGCGGGGCGATCGACGCTGTGTAATGCCTGAGGCAGATAATTTCACTTGTTGTGTCCCTTGTTGCCTTAGGCAGCAAAAGAGGGATAGTTGCTATCGTAAAGTTAGTATCTCCGCATCAAACAATCATCAAACATACTCTACGACGCGTGATTCCCCTCCCTCCTCACCACCATCCTCACCACCACCACACCAGAAATAATAAAGAGAATAGAAAATGTCCACCGACCACCACCGCAAAATCGAACTCCAATCCTCCGCCGACTTCACCTACCTATACGCCAACACCGTCGCGCTCTCCCGAGCAAAACTCGACCTCCACCTACCTCCATCCGCGAACCCCAACGATGGACCGGATCCCATGCGCGAGCGCGTACGAGAATTAGTCGATGAGGTAAGACCCTATCCCTTTCCAGATAATACATACATATAAATCCCACAATGTCTAACGATGACATTGTAATCTATCCAGTACATAAACCGCACCTTCAACTCCGCCTCCCCCTCCATAAGCATCAACGGACTCGACTCCACCTCCCCCGAATGGCCCTTCCCAGCAGCCTTCACGGCCCCCACCGAACAAGTGGAATACGAAGCGTACGACGGGAAACTAGCATCGCGGGTAACATCGCTGTATGCGCAATTGGAGTCGTTGACGACGACGGTGGCGCAGTTGAGACGGGATGCGCCGGGCCGGGCGGCGAAGGCGTATGCGGAGCAGTTGAGGAGGGCGTTGAGGGAGGATGAGGAGGAGGAGAAATTAGAGGATTTGGAAGGGGAGGAGGAGATGAAGGAGGAGGAGGAAGAAGAAGAACAGCAGAGTGCGGGACAGGATACGGAGATGGCTGATGCGGGGCCCACGAGCACAACGGCGACAACGACACGGACTCAGAGGAAGGGGCCGATGACGAGGTCGCGCGCGAAATTGGAGATCTCGCTGGGGACGGAGAATGAGGCGGAGAGGTGGCGGAGTGGGGAGATGGCGGAGGTGTATGAGGATGCGTTGCGGACGTTGTTGCGGCTTCAGGGTGAGGGGGTCTCTGTGGATACGAGTGGTGATGGGACGGATGGCAATGCGCTTTCTTCGACACTGGGGAAGGCCGAGAGGGCTGGGCGGGCTGTCGAGGTGGTGGAGAAGAAAAAGAAGGAAGACAAGAAATGAGTATTTGTTTAGGCTGGTCTGCTTACCACTGCATTGTTTATCTTCTCTGCTATGGGTTTGGGTCGGCGTTTGCTGGGGTCTTGGGATGATACCAATCCGTTTACAATGTGTTTACAATAATGAAAGATCTGATGGACACGCTCTGCAACGTTCACTCTAACGCTATATGAGTGTATACCCTGGTTCTACCTAGAGCATCCTGACCACGTAACACTTTTATCCTCTGTCCCCTATTACTGACTGCCCCGGCTCCAATCTATAAAAAGCACCTCGCGCCGCTCATATGGTGTTTGATATCTGACTGCAAAAGGAAAACAAGCACGACCAAAAGCAAAACGTATAACAATAGGACCGCGGAATCCCCGAGAACAACTCTCAACAACCCTTCCAGCACGTATCTTGAAATATAAAAGAAAAGTGGACAGGCACCCGCGGAGTACCTCTCCCTAGCAAAACAGTTCTAGAAACAAAAGAAGGGATATAGATCGGCAAGATAGTGCCTGAAGCTTTTACCATATTGATCCAAGATGTAGAACGAAACAGAAACAAAACCGGTTGATGACACAAAGCCTCTATGCGGTGGCCTGAGCCTCAGCCTCCTTCTCGGCAGCAGCCTCAGTAGAAGCCTCAGTAGCAGCCTCCTTCGGGACAGCCCACTTGGGGGTCTTAGCCCACTCAGACTCCTGCCACGGGCCCATGTCGCTAAGCTCGCAGCCTCCGGCACACTGGCAGGTACCGCCGAACTCAACAGGGAGGTTCTCAGCGGGGACCTGAGCCAGCAGCTCCTTCTTGTAGTTGGAGCCGAGAACGTGGATCTTGTTCACGGTCACCGGGTCAAGGAAGCCCTTGACCACGCTGAACACGCTGCTGAAGCCCCAGGGGGCGTTGATCAGGTAAAGCTTGCCCAGACGCTCGGGGTAGTAGTTCTGGGAGATGGCAGACGCCTGCTTGACGTAGCCATAGACGGAGGGGACGCTGGTGATACCGACGCCCTTCAGGTCCATGATGGTGCAGCAAGTCTCAAGCAGCTTACCAGCCTTGCGGGAGCAGGCGGGCAGACGGGGGTCGGCAAGCTTCTCATACTCGGTCACGAGGTTCTGGAGCATGCGCTCGCCGGTGGTGATCTTGTACATGGCATTGAGGTCAATCTTGCCCAACTTCTCGATGTAGACAGGACGGCCATCCTATTTTGGATTCCGATCGTTAGCGTCTCGACCAGTCTAGCGGTGGAGAAAAAGCGGTCTGTTCAAAGTCACGCACCTTGTCCGTTTTGTGGTAGTACTGGGGGTAGTATTCGAAGACCTTGGCCTTCTCGGGGTACTCGAAAGTGCGGACGAGCTCATCAGTGCCGAACTCCTTCCGCCACTTCTCGCAGTCGACGAACCTTTATTCCCAGAAGTGGCTGTTAGCGCGCGCTTCGAAAGTTTCAGGTTTCCATGATCACAGTGCATAGCATCTCGTAACAAAGTCTCCGTGAAACAGGTGACAAAAATAGAAGACAGAGACTTTCAACTCCGTTTTCCCAGTAGCACCCGCTTACGCGTAGGCTCCAGCAACTGACGCTAGTCGTCTCAACATAGTCAGGGAGCAAAAACGTACATGGTCTTGGCAGCAGCGACATCAAACTTCCGGGCTCTCAGGAAACGCAACAGCGTCAGAGTATCCAGCCTCTCGGTGTAGCCAAGCTGTTCCAGCTCGGCCCGGAGCTGCTCTACCTTCGCATCCTGCTCGGGGGTGGTGTGGCCAGGGTGGCCGGGTTGGTCTTCCGGCGCAGTGGTCGGGAAGTCATAGTCATCGTACTTGGACGGAGCCGCCATTGTGAAGGTGATGGTGGATGAAGAGGGTTGGGGGAAAGGAAGAGGAGGGGAGAGTTGAGAGAAAGTTATAGACCCGAAGGCGGGATGAGTTGATGGTCAAAAGGGAGGAGGAGGCAAGAGGAGAAATCGGGCGGTGCAGGGGGGGGGAGAAGAGAGGAGGAGAGAGAGGGGAGTGGGGAGGGACAATTAAGCGGGATGTCGCAGATAGCAGCGGTTAAGGGGAAGGAGAAGAGGAGGAGGAACAACTGCCTAGAATATTGAACAACTAAACTGGAAATTAACCTAGAGGCGGAGAGAGAAAGAGGCAAAAAAAAAAGCCAGAAGGCGAGAAAGAAATGAGACGGCGGACGGAAACAGCCAAACTTAGACGGGAATCCAAACCAAGTCGAACTCACTGCAACTTTCCTACTACTGCTGGAGTTGATCACTCACTCACTACTACTGTACTTACTCACTGCCTACTTACTTGTCTGGCCTGTCAAGTGGCAGCAGTCGGCCTGAATTGCGTGCCTGAAAAACCGAGGGGTGGCGCGTAAAGCGGTCAACCTTCCATTCCCCCCTTCTTCTTCTTCGTCTTTACGGACTACTCTTGAGGCGTCATGCGTGGCTGCACCTGTTTCATTATCGATCCAATTTACTTTGTTGATTAGGACACATCCTGCTTCATGATCATCATTCTCACTATTCTCACTGAGACCCCTCACAACCCCTGGTTTGCGACCACCTAAGCCTCTCCTTCGCCAATGCGCCCTTTCGTTTCAGGGCGGTCGCGCCGTTGCCATTCTGCGTCCCGGCGGCAGTGACGTAGGTGTCTGGACCAATGCTGGTGGGTGTCTGGGCAACTTGGCCGAATATCACTCGGCGGAAATTGCTAGTCAGATATCCCCGACGATCGCTAATTTACATTGACTGATTTGAACAGCCCAGGTCGATCATCTTACAGTCAGAAGAATCGCAGAATCCTAAACAATGTCCGGTGTTGCAGACTGCTCGTGGCCTAGACACCAGAGCATCATCCTCATTAAAAGCCATATGATATATGATTCCGGGGAATTCACAACGCTAAATCCAAGGCATACTGGTACATATAAACACAGGGTAACATGACGGCCGGCCTCACCAGAGCCGCTGAGCAACACAGCGCACCAATCTCATCAAACCGTACTGACCCAATTAAAAAAAAGTCAAAGCGCAATATCATTCAACGGGGTATAGCCGTCGCAAGGACAAAACGAAAAGCAACACTGCTCAGAAAACCCGGCTCATGACCACTCACCCCCGAGCCAGCGAGGGAAGAGTCCAGGACCACACGCTTGGGGATTAACAGAGCTGGTCGCCCCACCACATTACTGCCCCGCATAGGAGCCCTATCTTAACAAAATCGGCAAAACGAAAACAAAAAAATAAAACGCAACTCATCTTATGCATCCATGGTCGACCCGCACCACGTCTGGGTGGGAAGCCGCATGGTGAAGTGTACAAATCAATCGTCCGTCCCCAGGTCATAACGTAGAATAGACGATCCAAACAGATAGCACGGCCA